TATTTAAAATGCTAGATGCCGCACCTGCAAAACGATCAGGCTCTAAGCCCGTGTCTAAATCCAAACCGCATATCACAAAATAATCTGCGAACCGTGAATATTGAGGATCTGATTCGCGTTTTAGTTGCCGCAGTTCGTTTGAGCTCATCTCGCCAGGCGAAGTTGGCGATGTAGCGACACAGTCGTTCGGAGTCTCACTGTTTCCAACTTCATTGAATTGCATATTATAGTTAAGGGAGTTTTTGCTGCCACTTGCGCCATTACTACTGCTGCCGCTGTTATGCTTTCTCATCACCACTTTACCAGGCAGCTGATTATGACTTGACGGTGCGGGTGTGCTCGTTTGCGAATTTTGCTGTATTTGTTGGTCGGCAATCACTAGTTTCGTCATTCGTTGAATATTATTCTCCGTCGTCATAGTTTCACTTCACATGTAGCACACTGCCTCCAAGAGCACTGACACCTTCAGCAACATTAGCAAATTTAGCTAAGCACGGTGGCTCCGGATATAATGAAGGCGTTTTCAAGGATGTGAAAAGTAGTGTTATGAGTATGAGCCACCAAGGATTTTCACTTTTCACCCCCAATCGGTCCACCCTGTGATGCTTTAACAAATAGTTTCTAGTGCACTTGTAATTGTCGTAAATTTTCAGAAACTATTGATTTTTCTGCAAAAAAAAATTAAATTACATTAAGCTTATACACATGTACTAATTAATAAAAATTGGCCAACAACCTACAAATTTAGAAATTTCTTTTCTTACATGTTGTGTATTGCGTACGTTTCTGTTTATTTGTTGTTGTGGCTGGGCCAATCGCTGAAAATGTTGAATTTTCTATTTCTTTATGCTTCTTCTTTTAGTTCTGCTCGATATACGGTGACACTCGATATGTATAAATAGTCGATGTATCGATGTTTTTTGAAAAGTTACATTGCTAGTACACTAGCCGGGTGTTTAATACTTTCACCGGGATACGCAGACCGTCTATCATAAACGAAAGACACAAGATCACGTAAGAACAAGAGAGTGAAAAAAGTCGATTTTTTTTTAGCGGGTTCTACGCCATCTTGTTTCACTGGAAAACGAGCGAAAAGTAAACAAAGCAAAGAAAACAACGAAAACCAAAATTAGCCAAAATTATTGTCAGCCACTTTAAGCGCACAATTTAGGTAAAATGATGCAATAAAATGCTTGAAAATGTGTTGTCATGTTGAATTAACTCTTCTTTACTTAAATAAAAGTGTAAAATAGTGGTGCTTGTGATGTAAACAAACGCTCAGCTGACGAACCCGCTTTCGCAAACTTTTTTATCAAAACCAGTTACAAATACAACGTCGCGTTCTTACGTGATCTTGTATTTTTGGTTCATGCCGTCTATCGTGTATTTCGACGTTTTAGGTCTGCACAGACCCTCTTAAATGAGGGTGTTGAGTTTGGTGAAATTTCGTGATTGCGGCTCGAATAGTAACAGTCGTGAACCAGCAACTCGTCTCGTAAAAATGCTTATTTCGGATTATAACAGTCATGAACGTCCTTCTAATCTATGTTAAAATTCTTTAAAATGTAAATTTTTGTAATTGTCTATATGGTGTATGGCGAATCGTGTTGTATGTGCATCGCGGTGAAGGTACTCGCCTTGCGCAGCGATGCTACAAGCCAGAAAATTACTTTTTTCTTTTGCTTCAACTTGTCAGATCTTGTGTAGTTGGATCATGCTTCGATGTATGGGAAAATATCGATGTAAATTTCAGCTTTAAGCTGAAGCTCCATAGGCAGGTTTTTCAGGTTTGAGGCGCTCAAGCCTGAAAGATGATTTAGTGCAATTGTATAGAAACTGCTCCACAACTGAAGTTCGAAAAGCCTGAGAGATGCCCCAAATTTCGAACTTATTTCAGGCTTTTCAAGCGTCGTCTGACAGTTCAACACATTCGTACATTAGTACTGATAAATATGATTATGGCAATGTTGTAATCGATATCACGGGAGAATTTTCCTTAAAATCGGTCCAAAATTGAAAAAGTAAAAATGAGCGCTAGTAGAGATTTTTCCGATTCTAAAAGTAAAATACTGTTTTGCAAAAAAAAAAAAAGTCGCAGGCGGAGAATTGATTTTAATAAAAATGTTCATTATTTATTGAATTAAGAAAAATGTTCCCTTATTCGATATTAGAAAAGTCATGATTCTAAAATACCGCTTAAAAATCTACGAAAAACCGGTGGAAACCGATTTGGAAAACCGAATCAATCACTCTACAAAGAACAGACCTATTGCATATTTTGCATCGCATGCGATGCAACCCTGTTTATAAAATGCAACCTTCGCAGTAGTTACGGTTCAGTGGATCGATTTTCTTCGCGAAAAGAAAATTTTGCCGCTACCTTTTTGTGATGGCAATTTTCAGAAAACGTTTAAAGAAAATCTAGTTTTATGTGCTTTTTGCTTAAAATTTTGTGGAAAATACAATTGAAAAGTGAAAGTAATCCCCAATACTTACAAAACTTCGGGCAACCGTGCAGTTAGCTGTACCACGGTGCCCATGTGAAAAGGTCATTGTTTGTATCTGTACAATTTTGCTGAAGCATGGCTGGTGGAAATCAGGCCCGTGTCATCCAGGTGACCAATATCGCACCTCAGGCGACTAAAGATCAAATGCAAACCTTATTTGGCAACATTGGAAAAATTGAAGAGATTCGTTTGTATCCAACGGTGCGTGATGTCTCATGTCCGGTGCAGTCGCGTATATGCTATGTCAAGTATGCGGAAAGCAGCTGTGTGCCGGTGGCCCAACATCTCACCAATACTGTTTTCATTGATCGAGCGCTTATTGTAATACCTGTTCTGGCAATTCCAGAAGAATATCGTGCATTGGAGATGTCTAAAAATGGCACTATTGTGCCAGGATTGCAGAAGCCCGATTCCAAGTTGCCACCTGAAGTGCTTAACCGCATTGAAGGGCAATCACCACAACAGGTTTGTGCAAAAGTTTCAATGCATGTATATATATTCGATGGAAGTTGTTAATTTTCCATTATCATTTCAGGTTATCAAAACTTACGATCCGAAACTGGTGGACAACAATTTGCCAGAGTATCCGGCCTTACCGTCATTCTATGATGCCCGTAAAATTGAGGAAATTCGCAGAACCATTATTGTCTGTGACGTTAAGAATGAATGGCGCCTAGACGACTTGATGGAATGTTTTCAACGCGCCGGTGAAGTAAAATATGCTCGCTGGGCAGAGAAGGATAACAAGACGTATTGCATGATCGAATTTTGCGATCAGCCCAGCATTATACATGCTCTTAAACTGCAAGGACAAGAGTTCAAAGGCGGATATCTCAATGTTTACCATTCAACTGATTCAATTACCAAACCGGAGGCGAAATCAAACGAGGCAGCTCAGGCAGAAATCGAAGAGGCAATGACCATAGTAAAAGAAGCTCAAAATATGATATCTGCCGCCATTGATCCTGTCATTGGTATGCTAGCTAAGGATAAACGTCGACGCTCTCGCTCACGTTCGAGATCTCGTGAACGCCGCACTAGTCGTTCACGTTCGCATCGTTCACGTTCTAGGCGTCGATCTCGATCACGCACTCGTAAACGTTCCCGTAGCAAGTCTAAGCGGCGCTCTCGCTCTCATTCCCGAACTTCGCGCTCACGCAAGCGTTCGCGTTCTAGGAAACGTTCTCGCTCTCGTCGTAAGAGTCGGTCCCGTTCCCGTTCTAAACGGCGATCGCGCTCCCGGGATCGTCGTGCGAAACGTTCACGCTCGCGCCATCGTCGCAGTACATCAAGATCCCGTCGGTCACGTTCGCGCACCAAACGCTCTAGATCACGTGAACGTAAACGTTCGCACCGAGCTCGTGATGAAAAGCGTTCGCGTTCTTCACGCTCACGTAGTAAGCGTCGTTCTCCATCTCTATCTACGAGATCGCGTACAAGTCGCAGCAAAGACATTGTCCCGCTTGTAAAGTCATCTTCATCTTCTAAACGGCGTTCTCGAACACCCGATCGAAAGTTGAAGCCCATTGTAGAAGACATCGAAGTTAAGAGTACCCGATCTAGTGTCGATTCCAAGTCAAGGAAATCGGTTAGTGTTGAAAAATCCGATAATATGGATATTTCCAATTCACCATAAATTTGCTTCTTTAATGGTTACACATTTCAATCTTAAGGTCAAGATAACGTTACATTTTGTGAGAACCATATTTTTTTTTGAATTATAATACTTTTACAGTTAAGGTATGATTATTGTAAATCATAAAAGATTAGAGTGACTTGTAATTTGGGCTTTATCCGTAATAACCATTTCTTTCGTCGGACAAAGCTATTACAATAAAGGCATCTCGATAATATTAACCGACGTTGGTTTCTGAGAATTTTTAAAACACAGGACAGAAAACCCAGTATAATATCCAATAAAAGTATATATATGTAGGTATGATAGATGGTCTCAAGATAGGATGCAAATTATTACAATGAACAACAGAGGATATGTAAGAAATAGTGTTTCTGAAATACCAAGCATTTAATATTATTAAAAACAAAAATCCACTTTTAGTCAAAGAAAAAAATATTTTATTAAGTTGAAAATTAGTTCTGTTCGCTATGCAAAAAACTTGTACACACTGGTACTAATTGCTACACAATCGTGTTCGTTTGGTCGAAAAACGAGTAATACCTTGCAAGGAGAGAGCACAATTTGCAAGCAGGATTGTGCCAACAATAATTTGAATCAACAAATTCGTTAAATTTAAATTGTACAACCTTACCGCGATTTACAAATGAAAGAAGAATGTAAATATTTGTTTATTCAATTAATTTAATTAATGATTCCAAAGGTACTCTGATGAAAAACCTGTATTCGTAAGCGGAACGCAGTCGACACCGCTGTCGATACAGGAAATCGGACATCGACTACCACAAAGAAATTCAAGCGTATATTGAAAAAAGTCAGAATAAGAAGAAATATACGTAAACATATATCATGATTCAATAATTAATTAGCTATTAATTATTGAATCATTAGCTATTAATTATTGAATCATGTACATATATACTGTTTGGTTTTTCACTTGAAATAATTGAAAAAATTATTATGTTCCAAATGCTATTGGGGACGCCAGCTGGCACTGAAGCTTGCAGATGTTTCTCTTTGGGAGAATAAGTTACCTTATTCTCTGAATTTCTTTACTGGCTAATTCTTACTGGATTTTCCAAACGAAGACAGCTATTATTAATCGCTTTCACGTCACTTGACAGATGAGAGTCTCTATCGAAGCATTTATTTATGTATGTGTTGACAGTCAATGAAAATCCACGAGATAAATTTTCCCCTTTAACCTACATTCACTATAGGGCTGTTCAGGATCTTGTGCATATCGTCGTTTAAAATACAAAACCGCGTATCAACAAAATGCAAAACCGCGTATCAAGATAATGCAAAACCGCATATGTGAATTATGTAAATTATCTTTTAGAGAGTAAAAACACTCATATTTCAGAGTGGTTCTCTTTTTTTATAAAGCAGTTGCGTTTCTGGCTAATAATAAAATTCAGTACGAATGGATAAGGATTGAGCCAAGAGCTGCTCTGAGCAAATCCAATTTTTGGCAGCAAATGTCAGTTAAGCGGTTTTGCAGAATGACGATACGCGGTTTCGTATTTTAAACGACGATATGCACAACGTCCTAAACAGCCCTTATATATTTATGTTCTCGAGTTGGTTATTATACATATTTAAAAACGTTGCTGAAAACTTTGTTGCTGATTAAACATCATTTGTTGCTGCTGTTGTTGTTGATGATGAAAGTCTTGTGTTTGTTGCACTTGCTGCTGCTGCTGTCCTGTACCGGGGGGTCCAGATAAACGCACTCGTTTAGCGCTTGGCTCCTGCTGTTGTTGTTGCTGCTGTTGCTGTTGTTGTTGACGTTTAGTTTCCGCCTTATCTTCTTGATCGTCATCAGTTAAAAATTCCCTCTTTGGATATGGAATAGGCATGCCAGCGAATACATCTTGAGTTGGCAATGGATCCTCTTGAAAGTAGGGATCTTGCATAGCTTGTTCTGAAGTTATGCGCTTATTGGGATCCATAAGTAATAGTTTTTGCAAAAGATGGAATGCTTTACTGTCTGGCTTTATTTTATGACGTTCCATATATTTGGCAAGTGAGCACGTTGAATAAGTGGAGCGCTTAAAATCTTTCGTTAATGTATGATGCTCCGGCATTTTCTTAATATCCTCCCAGTCCTTGTCTTGAGGAAATCCCATTACGTTGAAAATTCGATCCAGTTGATCGTGGTGATAAGGATTACTAGTTTTTATATCCTCTTGTCTGCAATGGAATATTGGTTCCGATGTTAGTAATTCGGCGAAAATGCAACCGATTGCCCAAATATCAATAGCTTTTGTGTAATGGCGAGCACCCAGAAGCAATTCAGGTGCCCGATACCAGAACGTTACAACCACTGGATCTAGATCAGCTAATGGTTTTAGTGGAGCATTAAATAGACGTGCAAAACCCATATCTGCAATCTTTACGCGGCCCCGTTCATTACCATCGCCCATTACCAGAATGTTAGCTGGTTTTAAATCGCGATGAAGAACCCAGTTACTGTGTAGATAATGTATGCCATCTAGAATTTGATATAGTAAACTCTTAACCATACCTCTAGGCACAATAACTTGCTTCTTGGCAGCTTTAGCAGCTCTATGAAATTTTATGATGTGCCACAGATCATGTTCGGCATAGTCGATTAGGAGAAATACTTTGCGGTCGTTGTGGGACAAAAATACGCGAATGAGAGTTATTACATTTTGATGTTTTAACTCACGAAGCAGCGCTATTTCTCGACACGCTGACATGGACAAACCAGTACCATCAATCTGCTTCAGTGCATATTCTTTACCATCAGTGCGCTCCTTCCATTTCGCCTTGTAAACATGGCCGTACGTGCCACGCCCAACCTTGCAACCTTCATAATTGAAGAGATCTTCTACTTTTGTTCGTTCCATTTGTGTTTTCATTTTGAAGTCGTAGTCCATGATGGGATAATTTATAAATAATCAATTACTTTCCTAATTAATAAATTACCGAAGCACTAATTTATATTTTTTTGTCAACCTACAGTTGGCGTTTCGCGTCTATCAGCTGTTTCGCACCTGTCATGTAACTTTTCCCGAGAATAGTTATTGCAACCCTACTCCCGGCATCCGGCATTGCAGTTGTGATAGATAACTATCGATGGTACCGATGGTTTCATTTTGCCGCCACTATTAAATTTTTGTCAATACTATCGATAGTTGTATGTTGTTCACATTGTTGGAATTTGACAATAAAAGATGCACATGTCTACATATCTATGAATGATTGCGAAAATATTCTTCATGGTTTTTGTTATAAAATGTGTTATTGAAATACACGATCTCATTTTGTTTTACACAAGTCATTTTTGTGTATACAAATAATCTTTATGGTTTTTGTAGTTACAAAATGGGTTATTTAAGAATAAGATTTCTTCCTGGCTGTTGTTATCTTATATAGTAAAGCCCAAAATACAATAACGCAGTGGCAGTGGCAGTTTTTCGAAATCAGCTGTTTTTTAGAAAGTGAGGTGTTAAATGAAGCGACTCACAATACAGCAGTGGTAGCTGCCAGTACTGCTCAGTTTAGCCCAAATTCTAAATTCACTGCCACTGCCTTCATCGCAGCAAACTTCGCATGCTGAATTTGACATGAATAAAATGCAGCCAACTTCTGTTCATGCCACTGAAGCCTAAAAGACAACAACAAAAATTTAAACAAACAAAAGGGAATGCCAAAAAAAAGCAGTCACTGACAATGCCGTATTGTGTTTGCTGCGGCAGTGACTGCCAATATTAGCAGTAACAGCTGATTTTAAAAACAGCCACTGTCGCTGCCACTGCGCTATTGCATTTTGGCCTTAAAACAATAAACGAAGAAATTTACAGGCGATGGGAGCTGTCACATCACCTGCCAAATTTTTCTTGCAACATAAAAAATGGAATAAAATTTGCCTATTTGCAAAATGTTATGCCGAGTTTCACCAATCAATTTTAAATTTGTCAGAACGTTTTAATTTAATAGCCTTATTCATAAAAAATCTTCGATATATTTCCGATAAATATTAGAGAAGGCACCGATTCGTTTTGTCATTCGCTCTCAAAATTTTGTATGGCGAATTACGTAATTCGGAAGGTAATTGGTAAGGCGAATGACGAATGGGAGCGCGAACTACGAATAAGAGAGCGAATTACGAATCATGGAAATGCCGTATTACCCGGTCCTTTCGATTTATAATAGCTTGTCAGACGTGGCAATGTTTCCAACTTTTCCCGGTCGTACGGTTATAAAGTTTTTCGGGAAGATGGGTTTTAGTAAAAGCTTCTCGGGAATGCAAAAAGCCAAATTTCGAAAAGACACTTAAGGCCCGTCCACATACAACTTTGGCGTTGCGTTGGCGCTGGCGTCGCTTTGACAGCAGCGCGAGTAACGCCCGTGCTTGCTACAATGAACGCGTAGCAGAGAATACTTTGGTCACTAAATTAACACACTAGCGGCAGATAGATAAAAAAATTACATCAATAATTGCATTAAAAACTATATTTCTTGCCCGGATTTGATTAAAAATCAAAATTAAATCACATAATTTTGATTATTTAGAACAGCTGACGAACGACGCACGCGAAAAGTTGAGAGTTGGCCATCTTTCTGCGTTGTGTTGGCGTTGGCGTTGCCCAACTTTGGTTATATGGAGACTTTCATATAAATGCATGTATTCATAGTCAGCTGTCGAAGCGACGCCAACGCCAACGCAACGCCAAAGTTGTATGTAAACGGGCCTTAAGGCCTTTCTACATTTCGTTAACGATATATACATACATTTATTAATTGGAATTTACGAATATGTTAAAGGAACTTACTTGGCCATGATTCCATGAAAGTACTAATTTATCAAACGCTCGCTAAAAATTTTAAAGCGCTCACAAAAAGGAATGGTGAAAAATTAAAACAAACCTCTTCGATGTTTTGACTAAACATCGGGTTCTCAAAAATATCGACAAACATCGATGTTTGAAGCCACGACCATCGATGTTGCTCGATACAACGATGTTTTTTTACATACCTAGAGTTGACCTTTCCATCCCTACACTTGTAAGGCGAAATAAACAAATTGATCGTAGGCGAGGAGTCTGTTATTTAAAAATTGCAAAAATGGGAAAAGTTAACAAAAACATTCGCGCAAAGGCCAAAGCAGCAGCTGCTAAAGCGGCCGGCGCTACCAATAACATCAAATCAAAAATATCAGCAGTAGCCAAGTCAGATGAATCGAGTATGACTGAGGAGAAGCTCCTCTTGCCGAAAACGCCAACGGTCAAGAAAAAAGCTATTACCAAACGTGACAAGGTGCGACAGAAGCACAAACAACTTATGAATAAGTTTGCATTACTAAAAAAGAAACGGAAAGAGGAAGCTGCGCGCAAAAATCGTGAAAAGACTGCTGTGATTGGTGATTTGAAGCCCTTAAAGGACGCGCTGCCATCCTTAGATGAGCTCTTCAAATTGAGCAAACAAAAGTCGGATATTAAAACCGGTATAGAAAACATTGATGAATCTACTCAGAGTGATCAAAAAGGGAGGGAGGAAAAGAAACTGAATGTTAAGCAAAAATTAAAAAAGAAAAGGGAGAAATTCATAAGACAGGTCTCATCATACCAGGCTTTACTTAAAGATCCAGATTTCAAAAAAAATCCACGTGATGCTATTTCTTATCATATTAAATATAAACATGGACTTATTGATGAGTAAATTATAATATCAATTTTATGGTGTAATAAATCTATATTGTACATATATTAAAATAAGTTAATCTATTTTTATCACGCTTTTATTAGCTGGGGATGTAACTATGTAATATTGATGCGCCTAAAAGATGCAGCGATTTCCATTCTCAAGTTACATACCTGATGACAGTACGAATGGAAAATTTTAATAGCGAGCTTTTAGTTTTTTAAACTAAAATTTTATTTATGGTAAAATGATTCTCAGGACTCACGAAGATCAAAATCAACGCGGATATGTAGAATGGAGATATACATATGTTTGCAGATCAGAAAACATGTCGAGTCAATTCAGGTCTTTTGGATTGAAGAATAGTTTAAATCTTCAGCTCCTTTCGCGAAATGGGTTTTAGCAAAAAAGCATTTCAAACATTTTATAGCCTTCCTGTTTATCAAATCGCTGCTTGCTTAGAATTTTCAGGAGAGTAAAGATTCCCCGATTCTAACATAATCATCTACATATCGCTAGCTTAGAGTGAAAAGTTGTTAAGTCCACTCTTCATGAAAACACATATTTTGATACATCAGGCTAAAGAAATTAAAAATGCATCGTTTCGAAAAGGGTAAAGGTCCTTGTTTTATGTTTTCTCGTTTATATTCAATGAAAGGAAAATTTGCTAAGTCCAAGAAAGGCTCTGAAAATTCGATAATACCAAAATAGTACGAAATATTTTAATCAAGATCGAATCCCTCTAATTCGTTTGAAATTTCGCTTTGCTTTGTTGTATTCAAAGTTTTGCGAAATACTTGGAAGAAAATGGCTATAAGAAGTTTTTTCCTCTCCTGTACAATTTTTAAATTGTGACTTAGCAATCTTTCACTCTAAGGCAGCGATATGTATGTACATATGTATTTACCCCTATTATGAATTCGTAGGATGCACAATAAACGCTTGCATTCTGTTATCCCCTATTACGAAACGAAGTTTGTCGTAGCAAATCTGAAAGTTAGCGTAACTGATTTGTGTTGTTTAACGATAAAAAGTGAACAAAACTCACAGACATTCAAATTAATACATCTGTCGGGCATATGAAAAGATAATATGAAAACTAATTTCATACGATATGCCTGCAAACGTTTATCGTCTATCGTATGGAAATTCATAATGTGCGGGTTAATTAAAAACAAATATATAAAATTCGTTTTATTTCTCTTTATTGAAACTTGTCTTATCAAGGATTTTACTTTTGTAATGAAGATTTCTTTGATTTATTTTTTGCTGTTTTTTACATTGTTTGATTTTTTTTTTGTTTTAACGTGTTTAGATCTACAAAGTATTCTCAGACTAAATGTTATATGAATGTATGTATGTAATTATGCTCAGGTGCGAAAGAGAAAAATTAATTTAACATTACAATTTTTCTTTTTATTACTTTTGTTTATAGTCTATTTACTACGTGTTTATTGAAACTTGTTTAGTTTGGAAAGGTGCAACGCGGAAATTTACATAGTTTTTGACTGGATGAATGCAACAATAAAATTATTCGGAAATGCTGTATGAAGAGAAATAGGAAATTGATTGCTTCATAGTTTATTAGGAGAAACATAATAAATTCTACCGAATTCCCATTTGGTTAAAGTTATCTAGTTTTACATCGATTTACACTATTTCAAAGGGCACACCAACGAATGATAGAAATTTTCTTTTTACGCGTTCTCACTAGCCGATCGATGGCAGCTGTAGCCGAGTAGTTAGATGCGAGGCCCTAATGCTGCCAGTAAGGGAGCTCAGCAAGCAGCTCTTAGAAGGTTGCAAGAGATGTGGGCACCTAAACATGCACTTGCTTGAGGCGGAACCTCTACGAACTGAAGGACCAGGTCCAGGACTACACGCCACGACCACTGGAACCGGCACTGTATAGGCAGGCAATAAACGGCCTGTATAGGCCACCTTCAGTAACTACCGTCCTGTGAATGCCGTCATCGAGCACAATCGCAGAAGAGCTTCAATTGCCAAGAGATACCCACGTAAACTCCTGTTTAACCAGACTAGCCCCGATGTACCCAATGTATGTCCGGCAAAAGTCAAATTCTCTTCTGAAATTGGACGCCAAGCAAATAGTTCACAGTTCATTTACCGGTTCTTTAGCCGAGATCTGTTTTTTTTTTTTAATTGTGACTTATTTTTCCACTATTCGATGTCTAATTTCGGGATACACAGATATTTCAAGGGAATGACTGAGTGATTGTGACTTTCTTTTCAAACTGTGATTAAGATGAACTAACGTCTAATTTTGAACCGAGTGCAAATAATTGGTAACTGCAAGTAGTGTAAACCTAAACTCCAACGAACTGTGAACAAATTGATGAACTCATAAAGCTGTAATAGAAATTCGAATATTGCTAACCGTTGAAAATTTTGCAACACATATGTATGTATTTATGTACTCAAGTGATGCAGAAAAAAAAATCATATGAGTTTACTAATTAATGATTTAATAGTTTGACGACTTGTGTCATTTGTCATTTTACAACTTATCGAGTGGTGTTGGCTCTTACAGTGACGTGACTTATCGACACGGGTATCCTTATTGTTTTAATAGAAGCATTACAAATTAAATTTGTATGTAATACATTTATTTATTAATATTTATAAGCGCTGCAGTGTTCAATCTACAGAACATTGACCTATGTTGTATGTGTGTATGCATTTACGCTATGGTGTATGTTATGCGAGAAGAAAGTGAACATCTGCATTCATTATAATGACAATGTGTGTTGATTTGTATGTACGTACTATGTATGTATGTATATAAATGAATTTTTATTTGGTACATTAATATTATTGTTTTAGCTATTAACTTTATTTGAAGATTAAATATATGCAATTATATTTACTTTTAATTATTATTTCTTATTACGCTGATCTAAATTTATTTTTTGTTATAGCGATGTTGAGATCCTTACACATACATATGAAATTCTACCCTCGATTATTTTTATTAATTTATCAAGTGTTAACAAGAATTGTGTATACATAACTTAAGCTTCAACGATTATGAAAAGAAAAAAATTATTGCAGTACGACAAACGCTTAGAAAATTAGAAGTATGTTTATTGAATTGTGGTTGGAGAAGATACTGAAGGTACATAATGTATGTAAGCAAGAATTAATTTTAAGGCGGATTTATCGTTCTGGTTCACTGGTTTTTTTCACTTACCCATCCTCTTTCACGAAGAGAAAGGTCTGAAGGTAGATTCATCACTCATTCAATAGTTCGTGCTGTCAAAATTACAACTTTAGCAATTGGAAATTTGAAGGTATTTTGCCAATTTTAATTTTTCCTTTTAAGTAATTTTAAATAAATTTATAAAGTTTTCTGAACCGAAATTAATTAGGGCAATATCAAAAATGTTCGTAACTAAAGCTGAAGTTCAGTTAACAACTCAAAAGAGTTCAGAACTTTTCTCAGTTGCTCTCCTTCTCCGAATTGGGAGAGAAACACAACCACAACTATATGGAATAAAAGTTCTAAACTAGAACGATGGACCCCGCCTTTAAGCAGCCAAAATTTTAGAAATCAATTGTAATTTAAATATTTATATATGTATAGTAGAATATGTGAAGGCATATTAAATGAAAACGCATGGCGGCTTTATTTTTCTAAACCTAGTTCGTCTTTGAGTTGACGTCAAAGAACATTTTTGTTTTAATTTTAACTATAGTAATATTAAGATGTGTTACGTGTATTCGTGTTCGACGAAACTTTTAGCATCTTTTTCTACTTTTGTCCACATGTTTTTGTAATGTACGAGCATGCGCTTACATAATATGTGTATTTGGATGTACATTCATACATATATGAGTGTGTAAATATTAGTTTAACTTTAATTTCACTTAAAATATATATATATTTATGTATATAACTTTAGTGGACAAATTATCATAATAAAAATATATGTATGTATATGTACGCTTTTGATAGAACACTCTCAATACATGCATATGAACCGTTTATTTTGAAAGTGGCATAAGTCATTTCATACCATTTGACTTCAGCGATCATTTTACATGTATCTCAACGCATCTGTTATTCATTCAACTTCATCAGCCAAAGGTATGTTTTGTCAGTGTGTTTTATGAAGAGGTGGAAATGACTTATGCCACTTTCAATATAAACGATTCATATATATGTATACAAAATATAAAATTCAACGTTTAGCAGTTTTACGACGATTGACAACTCGAGTGCCGCCAATTTACCCTTTTTTCGCACTGCTACCCGCTTCAAATCAATGCGTACCTAATGAATTAAACTTTAAGTATTATAAACGACTTATTTATATATGTAAAACATAGCTTAAACTATGAAATATTATTGAATCGAAAAAATATATATATATATACTTATATCATTTCTTTGCAAATATAAATAAATTAGTAAACATTTATTTATTTATTAAGCAAAAACATCAAGAGACTGAAAAGAGAAAGTAATTAGCAAAATAATTATCGTTTATACGAATACGTAAATGATTGTGTCATACCGGAAATTGATTCCTTTGTTCGATAAGAGCCTATTGCACTCAGAGCTATCCGGCAGTGGTAGTATGTAATAATCACTTTCGCTACTCTGTAGAGAACAAATATTCATATTGAAGATTTTAGTACATTTTTTTGACATACATACGTATAGACAAACACCAAATGGAAAATATCTTAATTTATATTATATATGTATGTATGTATATATTTTTTAATATATGTATATAAATGTACATATTTACTTATTTATGTACATATATACAAAATGTAACTTGAAGGTCTGTGATAGGAAATGATAAGACTTTTGAAACTATCTTAAACTAATAAAGGCAACATAATAATCATTTATGTAAAGTTGTAAAATTTTCAAGAGAGCTGTGAAATTATCGTATGTACATACACATATTTTAAATCTCTTCTTACTGCATAAGTCAGCTAGCAGTAGTTTTAAGTCACATTTTTCAGTAAAAGGAAATGCTTTTTAATTGAATAGCCTTTGGAAGCAATATGAGTAACAAACTTAACTACTATATTTTAATTACCGAAATAAGTATAAGACCACAATAAGAAAGTCCACAATTTGCGAACTAAGGATACCGTAGAAAATATCCCATCTGAGTGAGTTCAAATTTTATATAGCTCAGTTCTTATGTAAATTAATATCGCAAGTTTAATAATATAGAAAATTATTTTAAAATTCCAACTTTGTGAAAAACGCAATCAAAGTTTGCTCAATGCATACATTTGGCATAAAAAACGACAGATGGAAAGACACATATCTTCGCCAATTTTGGTATGTTTAGTTATCTGTTACACTGAACAAATTGGGGCTCATGCATAAAAACTGAGCCTAAGCTCAGACTCAATTTTTGCACTGAAGGGGTGAGCTCAAGCTCCAGAGTTTGTACTGAAAATCGAGTTGGAGCTTAAACTCACTTTTTCCTCACTTTCACGATATGTACATACTAAAGAACTGCAAAATTCAACATTTTCAGTAAAAATGTCTTTCAAAAATTTCATGCATTGCTATGTCATGTTAAGTCAAACAATGTGTTGTGCCATGCCATTCCATCTCAAATATACTGTTTTAGCATGTCGTTGCTACTTAGCTAAGCTTTTGTTCACTGTTGTGCTTCTATAGCATATTTTTAATACTGTTTGATGCTGTACTATTAACGATTCTTTCGGGCTCTATCAAATATTTTTAGAGGTTTCCATTTCGTTGATGTTTTTGCAAAACCACCTAAATCGCCGTTGTGGCAAAAATGAGATTTGGTAACCCTGAACTCCAGGCATCGAGATTTATGCATAAAAATCATAAAATCGTTATTAAAACAACCGATTTGTAAAATAATAGCTAGAGAAAATACCACCTATCATGGCCTTGCCTTCAAAGTAAAACCGTGTTTTTGCTCTCCTGTAAAATTTGAGTGTAGTAGATAGGTGGTCTCGCAATTGGTCGATGGGCGGCTTTGCAAAAACATCGACGATTTGCTTATTACTTACTCCAGGCACGTGTGCAGGAATCTTTCAAGGAGGGGGTCCGCTTTATGATCGACTTAAATCCCCTTAAGATTAATATCCAATTTCAGATACATCTAGGCACTACTTAGAGCCTCGATGGCCATGCCACATATCGATTAAAATTTTGAAGACTTAATGGGGCTTATGAATGAAAACTAAGCAATTGTTTTTTTTTTTTAATTTCAGAACTCTCGATTTATTCAAATAAATTTAAGTAAAAGGTTTGCAACTTTATGAACAACAATTACTTAGTTTTTATTGAACAGGCCCAATATCTCGCATTTGACTGAAGGATTGAATTTCTAGGGCTCCAAAAATGGAAATTTTCAAGAAAATTATCACCATTTGTGCAACAAATTTTTATATCGCCTAATCGTGCGATCACCACCACTAATTTAAATTAACATAGAAATGCTTTCAGGGTTGGACCTTGAATTTTGTTATGGGAATGTGTCTGAGAAAAAACTAAGAGAAATCGCACTACCTTAAAATGTATTTTAGGGCCTTTCTGCATGGGTAACGGCAATAAATAAGAAATGAAATTGAATTCATCAATCACTTACTTGGTCTGTAAATTCGTGTTTGTAGATTTGTGTAGCCACCTTCATATCTGAGAAGGGTCCTTTCAAAGCAAAGAAATGAATACTCATGGGTGTGCTGGTTTTTGTTTTCAAAATTAACTGTTAAAATAAAAGAGTTAGATATGTTATCAACAAATTTTTTTTTTATATTTAACTACAAACAATTAATGCAACAAACTGCATTGTTCACATTAGATACATAGCAATACCTGATACGTTATGGTACGTTCATTTGATTGGTGCGGATCACGTTGACTATTATTAATCCGTGCTTTTACCACCCATTGTTGATTGAATGCCGTAAATCTAGCCGTCTCATAGAATAATTTGTGTACATATTCATCGGTACGATAGGGTTTCATTTGTAAATCTGAAAAAGTATACAAAATGATATACACATGAGTAAAGATACATTATTAAATATATTTTAATTATATTTTTAGTGTGAAGTATGCTTTTACTTACCATTAAATATAATCTTTTCATAACTCAGCAAATCTATAAGTGTACAAAACATTTTCTTTTCCTCCTTAATTTTGGCATCATGGGCTTCCAGTGCAGCCATTACCTCGTAACCCGATTTTGTAGGATGCAAACAGTTGCGTTCATGCTCAGTAGCTGTGGAAATATGAACAATGTAAGAAATAGAGGATATGCTAGCTAATCGCTTTATTTGCTCAATAGGTACGCACTCTCATGATTCGGTCCACGCCATTGACAGCCAATTCGTGAATATTTGCAGTTTGTAGGCCGTTCCTGGCACTCGTATTGCTCATGGCGATCCAGCGACTTGTATGGGAATTCTTTATTGCAATACTAGAAAATAGAAAAAAAAAACACATTGTTAAAATATTGTTAAATGCTTTTATTTGTTTCGCTGAAATACTTGACACTCGCTGGGCAACTCGGAGGCGGCTTTCTCCACGGCCAGATTACGTGATGCAGTGCTTTTTGAAATCTCAACCCGACAATTTGGGCAGGTGGCAATTTGATCGCGTAAACTATTTGAAATTGCAGAAATAAGAAAAGGATAAATACATAAAAAATGTTTTTTTGTTTGTTTTAAATAATTTGTTGAAAGTGCTGAAAAATGCTAGAACAAGTTGAGTTGCAGTTAATGATTGTTTTTTTTTTTTAATGATTATAAAATGTTTATATGTATAGATAGATGTTTTTTTTTCAAATATATTTTAAAGTCATACCGTCCATCAGCGAGTAAATGTGTAAAACAAGCGGCACACATTAAATGGCCCATTTGACACTGCAATGAGAATGGTAAGTAGTAAAAATAGTTAGAATTTTAAGAAATTTCCAAATTGGGTTAATTAAAACAAATGTTTATGTAAATTTGGTGTATATTTAATTATGAATAATTGAAAATCCTGTGAATGGGAAAAAGAAAAAAAGAATCTATTAGTTTGTATTCATTGGCGACTAGAACTATGTATGTATTTTATAAAAGCTTAGAAGAAAGTGTGTGTGAGTCAACAAACCTAATTACTGTCAAAAATTTCCACAATTTAAGTAGTTCAAATTTTATCTACTTAGCGTGACCGGTTTTTGCAGTAATATGAAGCAGCACCCACTTTGTGCAGGCCGACCTATTTATGTACTATATATATATACTTTTTATGAAGCTTGGTGTATGAATGATTTATAGAATGTATGAAGTAGATATGGAAAAATTATAAAAGTTTGCAAAAGTGCGAAATTTAAGAAAAAAATAAAAAAAAAACAATTGAATATTGTAAAAAAGTATATATAATTTAACAGTGTGAATAAGTTTAATGAGCAATGTTTATAAAGGACGACGAACGAATAAAATGCATAATAATATGTGTGGAAATGGGTGAAAATGATTGTCCGCTGGCTATGTGAATAGGAAAGCCAAACTTTTTTTTCGTTTTCTTTTTTAAATAAAAACAAGCGCATTGTTTTGGTTTTCAACTCAATTTGTGAACTTTTTTATTGATTTAACTTGTCGATACGTTCTAGTAATATACAATAAATATGTTTACTAGGCGAAAACTTAGCTCTTTTCGTATTTTTTTTTGCTTATTTTCTGCTTTTTTCTCTGTTATGAGTCTTTTGTATTTTTTTTTAATTTTATTTCTTTTTTCATTCGCTTATTTACTTATTAACCTAGTGACAACAACTACAACAACATGAAAGATTAAATGCATACATGTGTTGGTACAATAACAACATAATCACAGAATTCGTTTCTTTTGCATCACTTATGGCATAGTTTCTTTTGGTTACAACTTTGTTTTTATTATTTTTAAAACATTTGCATTCTATACACTTATACATTTGGTAATATTCTCGTATGCAACAGTTTATTTTTTTTATTAACTATGTGATTATTTTATTTTATGTTGACGATATATCATATGACGATATATATTTAAATGCGAAGTAATCTTTTAAGATAAATTAACTAAATAAAACTACTGAAAAAATACATTTTCTCCTTTTTAGTTCTTACAAAAAAAAAAAATTTATGAAATTTTTAATTGCTAGGCGAGTTAAAAATTAGTTATAGTGAGCCTATCAAATGAGAAATTTATTTATAAAATATGTGCAACAAATTAAAATACTTTTTTTTTAACTATGGTAGTAAATATTAGACAAACTGAAAAGTGATGTTACTTATAATAAAAAATAAAAAGATAATACCACTACTAAGGCCTAATTCACAGTGTGTAGATAAACTCTGACAAGGATTCAATTATCAATTTTTGTAGCCACAGTGACTTGTTAAGAAAAGTTTAATTCTTCATAATTAAACTCGGTTTAAATTTTGTGGCACTAAGTTCATATTTTTTGATTCGCTATAACAAATATCGTATTCATAGCGTTTGCGAATCTTTATAGTTACCATGTAAATATGAACCCGTAGTTAAGCTCTTGTTGGCTGTTCACTTAATAAATTTTTAAACTATGAACAAGAGATTTCGGACTTTAGGGTAAGATTTAAGGAAGGAAATTAAGATTTGAGTCAAGTGAGTTATATTTTAAATATTACAATTAGCCGATCAAACTTAATGTTTAATTCAAAATTTAAAATTTTTTTCGAATAAAAAGGTTAGCTTTTTTTATTCTGCACACGTTCTTCAAAAGGGTACTGACTCAAAATTTGATATTATTTAATACAAATGTTCACATCTAGCAATATTTTGTTTTAACTCTCGTCCCCATATAATTAGCATGATGTCCCGGTCACACATTTATAATAGCTTCAGTATTATCTACCGGACCAAATCTGTCTACTGGATGATAAACGGGATATTTTGAGTTATTATACCCTGAAAAACGTGAGCGTTGTGAATATTTTTATATGTATAAATAAAATGAGTTTGCAGTAACTATATCCCTGTTTTCGTTATAATCCATTAGGCTGAATTTTTGATAAAATCTCGAAAAAAAATCATTCAAACCATATTTTACCCTCAAGGGGGCAAAATAATTTTCTGTTATCGTAAAATTTTTTCGTTCTAACTTTAAAATCGAAATTTTAGAGTTCCTCAATTTCTAATCACATTTTTTTTAATCTGTAAATTGAAAACAATATTTTTTTTTTCATCTCTAAACCAAAAAATTGTGAAATTTGTGCTTTTATACTGCCGTTTTCCAAAGTAGCGAAATGATAAAGCTGACATTTAATAGAAGCCAAGATTTTTTAATTAACATAATGCCATCCCTAAATTTGAGCGTTATGCGATGCGTTTTCTAACGCCAACGAGTACCAACGCGCGCTACATGAACCAACTAACAAGGTCACGCAATCGGAAAAGAATGCAAAAAGTAAATTTCTGTGCGTTTTTGACATCTGCCTAAGAATGAAAACAAAACAAAGAAATCGGAAAAGCATCGGTGATTGAGTGCGATATATTGGTATTTATTATAAAATATAATAAGTTAAATTTGATGAAAATTAGCTAAAAGTGTTCATAAAATATGGTTTTCATGATTGAAAGTGTTTTACAATCGCATATCATCAGCACGGGTAGATTTTTCAATGCCAACGTTCTGACCACAAATGTGCGCCTACTTTTCACGCAAATTTAGGCCTTTTGGCAGACCAAATTAACGCACGCATAAACTTGTTCCAATCGCAAAGTACTTCATTTTATATCATAAATTTGTAATAAATCAAAATTAAAATTAAAATCTCTCATAAAACACATCAAATTGCTAAAAAAAAGCCACCCCGAACCGAAAGCAGAGGATGTAAGCAAAATGAAAAACATCAAAAATGCTACGAAAACATTTTCTGAAATTCAATTACAAATATAACGATGGCTTATTGCGTGACCTGGAGTCGTTGAATCATGGCGCACTAAGCCCAAATAAAAGCGTCAAAATTTTGCCGTTTTCTCTTTTCCTTTCGCTTTTATTCCCGTTTCCTCTTTTTTCTTTTTGTCCGCTTTCTTTCTTTCCGTCTTCCGCGCCAAACTTCAACACTTACGCCCTGTCAAATATGAAAAGCACTGTTTTAAAGATGACACAAAACTCCCATTTCTGGTGATATGACTTCATATCTTTTTAATCTTTTTAAAAAGGTTACTAATGCCTGGTTTTCACTTTATTTGGCATTTGTTGTCAAATAAGTGAAAACACATTGTCAAATTTAACTAAAAACGGTTTATCGATTGATTTAGATCAGAATTGGTCTTCAGTCGTGTACATGTGCTGCTAAATTGGCTATCTGTCTGTTGTTGGCCCATAATATAATCGGTAAAGGTATGGGAAAAAGGAGATACAATTACGTCAAAATATGTTGACAAAATTTGTTGTCAAATTATGATATAGTGAAAACCAGCCTTAAGAGCCTTTTGTATTGAAAACGGCAATATGTACCTAAAATTTTTAAAACTAATGCTAGCTTTTAATATGTACTCAATGACCAAATTATGTTAAAAAACTTAGAAAATAATTTCGTTTTTTTTATACGAATTTTTCGTTTGTTTAATAGCTCGTGCCTACTCTGTATTGCGATTCGAAAAGCAAATCATTCGCATTCGAATACTTGGCACTATGAGTTTGTATATTAGTCCGTGTCGCTTTTCTCGAATTTAAGATCATAAAAAGAATATTGTGAATTTGTATTTAAAATAAAAAATAATTTAAGTATTTGATATGAAAATGAATTTCGAAAATAATCATCGACCAACATTTAAATTGATCATATGAACTTCGCCCCTAGTTATGTATGTATACTCGTAGTATATATCGCTTGTCGCTGGAAGACATTCACAATTCCAATTTTCCTTTGGTTGAGTAAGCTTTACTTCGATATCTTTCAATTGTACCGCAAAAGAAGAAAATCTAGATAGAATTCTACGATTTATTAAAATTTTATTTTAGTTATTTATTTTTATTTTTTAAGGGGAAATTACTAATTTCGATTTGTTTTTATATTATGATGTTCTCCCAGCAATCAAGCGATATGTACATACATCAGGAACGTATAAATAAATATACTCTTGTTTGCCCAATCGAATAATCCGTTAAGCCGTTAGTAAAAGTTGCTACAAAAATACCGATTTTTATAATTATTTTTTAAATGAAAGGTGGTACCTCAGATGTGGTCCCATACTAATTTGATTTAGATCACATCATTGAAAAAATTAACGGCCTCTTAAATTTTGATATGAACGTTAAAATCGGTTTTATTTTTTGCTTAAAAATTACTGGTTTTTATTTATTTTTGACTTGAACCGTTTTTTGTATTAATGCCTGGCCAACAAACTACCTGACGTCTATCTGGATCTTTCACTTCTGTATATATTAACTATTGCTTAAAGTATTTATTATGTACTTAAATAACTTCTATGTATATATCAAATAAATAAGATATGCAACTGATGGGGTCTGAATGATGATTAAAGTTTAAATAGCTATGATTGCGTTTAGCCTGACTATTTCTACATTACCATTTAGTTGAACGCAAGCGACTATTATTAAAATATTATTATTTTTTAATTTGAAATCGAAAATTTAATGCTTAGTACGCGCACAACTGTTTTTAATCGATATCGGCATGGATTAAAATTTTGTAGAATTAAAAAAAAAACTATTAAAAATAATATTCAAATACATACACACATACATAGTACATATGTAGTGGATCACAATTGCTTCGCGCGACAATATTTTTTTTTTTCTGAATTAAGTCTGTATATATATTTTACTCAAGAATAATAAATACAAAAAATTAATGTTTCTCTTGCGTTTAATATGTATGTATGTATTTCCTTTTTTTTTTTAAATAAAGTGAGCAACATTTAAAATTAAGAGCATAACAATAACTACCAAATTTTTTTAAATGTAATAAAATTTGTATTTAGATGATTACTTTTACTGGTGCGGAGGATCGATATAACTAGCGTCATACATACAAAATAATCATCGCCAATATATCGTTCCGTATAGTTATCGATATATTTATCGACGTAATTATCGATATATTTAAAGGTCTGTATACCGAACCCTTTGCTAAAATTTTCTAGCGCTGTTGTTACCTAAAGATACAATGTATGTATTGTAAATTCACATGAATTTATCGATCTCGATACCCATAACTATCGAAACCGATACACTTTTATGTATATATTCCTATTTGCATTTACGCTTACAGCATTTTAAACTCATCACGCAAATTATATTTGTACATGCCGAAACTAGAAATGCTTCACGAAGTCATTTGAAAAAAAGTCGAAGTTCGGCGAAGCCGAACATTAAATACCCGGCGCAAGTATTAAATACATAGCGTCACCTGAAATGCAAAAAGACGTAACAACATCGTAACCGAAATGTAAAAAGTCGTGACTAATAATTTTTTTTCATAAAATGATGTGGGAGTTATAATTCGATGAAATATGATGGACATATCAATCAAAAAGTGAATTTTGAATTTTTTATTAGTTACGTCTTATTGCATTTCAAGTGACGATATAGTGTTTTCACCATTCCGAAAACTACCGTGACATGGTAAGCAGGGGTGCCTTTACCCTTATTTCACACATCTTAGCTAGTATGTTCAGTTAGACTTAATGAGATAAACTTATATAGTTGTAAGTGGGCGGTATCACGCCCATTTTCCGAAATTCCATAATAATGTACTTTCTTTACCGTTATATGAAAAGTGGACGAAATTTTAGTCCGATTTCAAAAAAGGTTCCACGTATTGCTTTAATGTGCAACGTACAACTTAGTTTGGTACAAATTGATCGAACGGTTACAGAGATACACATATGTGGTCATAAGTGGGCGGTGCCACGCCCAATCTTCCAAAACTTTGTTGTAAACGTATGTTTTGCTAAAGAATTATTGCAAACATCAATTTTGAACAAATTAGCTTCAGTATTTACCGATTTATCGAAGATTTCGTATTTCTCTAAATTACCGTTATATGGGATTTGGGCGTGGTCATTGTCCGATTTTAAAAATTTTTTAGCCGTTTGGTATATTTTACCAAGACCAACAACTGTGCTAAGTTTGGGAGAAATTGGTGGAGCGGTAACTTAGATATACACATGTAATGATAAGTGGGCGTAGCTACGCCCATTTTCCAAAAATTTATAATATTATTATTTTTCGCCTAAAAAGCATTGTCAATTTAAAATTTGAGTGAATAAGCTTCAGTAGATACTGAAATATCGCAGTTTTTGTATTTCTGAAAACTACCGTTATATGGGAGGTAGGCGTAGCTATTGTCCGATTTTGCCCATTTTCAATACCATTCGTCCTACAGTCAAAAGAAGTACACGTACCAAGTTTTCGTTAAGATATCGGACGGACGGACAGACAGTAACATTTGTATATATCTATCTCGATTCGTTTAGGCTGTTACAAATAACCGTTATGTGAACAAAGTTATAATACCCTTGTGCACAAGTGCGCTCGGGTATAAAAATAGTGTGGATGTACACACTTGCTTGGTTATCTAGTTATGTGTGGTTATATTTTTTATTCAGCAGACAGGTGTTTATAATATTTCTCGGCTGTTTCGTCTAGAGTTTGTATTAGATCTTTGGAATCAATGGAACAAGAAAAGCTGGTGTCAAAAAATGTTTCCATCCCATCGACGCTATTTGGTTTTGGGTCACTGAGTTCGAACGTGAAATCAGAACAGAAAGGCTGGCCCGATTTTTTATTCTAATCTCGAATCAGAGAGAGCAGGCTTTTTGAGGTAAGAAAGAAATAACAAGCCAAGCACACCTTTGATCCTTTATATAAGCTTACAACTTAATTCTCAATCTAGAAAATATCGTCGTATCACACGCGCCTCGATAGTGTATAAATCAATTTTTTTTTTATCGAAATTGCCAAAAGTACCTACAAGCCAGTGTCGCCGCTTTAAGAAAAACTCATTAAATATTAAACGTCAATATTGCGTATTTAATAAGCACCCCACGAAACGAGCATACGAGTGTGTGTGTGAAGAATGCAGCTCGTGTTGGTTGGAATGCATTCTAAGTAGTACATTGTTATAGAAATTTTCTTCTACTTTATGTGTGACAATAATCGAAATAGGCATAGGCATGGACATGGGCTGATGAACATGGATGTGACTCACTAATTGCAACAAAAATACAAAAAATGAGTTGCATACATAAAAGGAAAATCGCGAATCAGTAATGAGCAACACTATGAGGAAGAAAAAAACAAATAAAATAAAAATGCCAGCGCAAAAATACAAAAGAAAAGGAGAGCGAGAAAGAGGGAGCAATAACTTTAATGAACAAACAGAACTGGTTGTCCAGCAAAATGTGAGAATTATTGTGTAATAGCCGCGAACTATGTAGAAATTCATGATTTAATTAAAATTAAGTGGCATATGCGGTATTCCGTACGATTTGTTGTCTTTCCGATTGTTCTCACCATATTCAGTGCTAGTTTTTATTTTATTTTTAGTAACAGCACATCAACAAGATCACACTTTTATATCTCACATTCTCGTACAAGCATACACTTACGTGCAAAATAATAGCAGTGCGACATTTCAACCATGTTTAACTATTTTTAATTTGTTAATTTGGTAGTAATTTTTTTTATGAAAGTATAGCTCATTGTACATATAACAAAAATCATATTAATCCAAATTTCAAACTTTTTACAAAAGATTTTTAATTTCAACAAATTTTCACAAAAAATTTAAAATTTTTGTTTTTTTAATTTTTAGATAAATTGTAGATATGCGGTTTTATAGCCCATCACATTTTAATAGATAAAGTGAAAGTTTGAAGCGGCTCGCAATTTCTTTTATATGGAAGACTAGCTTTTACCCGTGGCTCCGCCCGCGTAAAGTTCGTTATGATTGTAAAAAAAAAGAAAAAAAGATATGTACATACATATGTATGTATACCACTGGAAATAATAAATTTTATTTAAAAAAGTTGATTATTGTTTCGAGGTTCCAGAACATGGTAAATATGTCGAATTTTAACAAAATTGGCCATAATATGTCGCAGCTAGTCTTCATACTACATATCGTCACCTTAATTCATTGAGCAAAAAGTAAAAATAACCACTCGTGCTAATATAGCCGTAGTTTCATATGGAACGTATACGTCCCGTAACACCATACTCGCGACATCTAAAGGGCAGTGTGACCAGATGATCACAAAAAGCGAGGCTAAATTAGTTTTGAAGAAAGGTTAGAAAACGTTATACCCTGTGAAAAATGAAGTTAAAAACAAGCCAGTATATTCATTCCTTAAAAAGTTTTCGCCAACTCGATAAGCGCCGCGAAACCGATTTTCTTTACATACATTTTTAAATCATTTCCATCAGAATAGAAAATGACATCTTTCAGGTTAATAATGGCTACATCGGTTCAAGGTATGCAAAATTGAGTTCAGATTAGGATACGAAAAAAGAAAAAACAAAAATTTCGAATATAAATATGATTGTTTTCTACATCAGAGTGCACTAGTAATACGCCAACAAATCAATTGTTTTTAAATAGAAGTACAAGGCGAATTTCGTAGTATGTACTATTTTTTTAAATCTAAGGAAAAGCAATATTGTAATATTTGAACGGTAAA